GTAACAGTGACGTAACTAACTCTACCTTCTTGTAACAGTGACGTAACTAACTCTACCTTCTAGTAACAGTGACATAACTAACTCTACCTTCTTGTAACAGTGACGAAACTAACTCTACCTTCTAGTAACAGTGACGTAACTAACTCTACCTTCTTGTAACAGTGACGTAACTAACTCTACCTTCTTGTAACAGTGTCGTAACTAACTCTACCTTCTAGTAACAGTGACGTAACTAACTCTACCTTCTAGTAACAGTGACGTAACTAACTCTACCATCTTGTAACAGTGACGTAACTAACTCTACCTTCTTGTAACAGTGACATAACTAACTCTACCTTCTAGTAACACTGACGTAACTAACTCTACCTTCTTGTAACACTGACGTAACTAACTCTACCTTCTAGTAACAGTGACGTAACTAACTCTACCTTCTAGTAACAGTGACATAACTAACTCTACCTTCTTGTAACAGTGACGTAACTAACTCTACCTTCTTGTAACAGTGACGTAACTAACTCAACCATCTTGTAACAGTGACGTAACTAACTCTACCTTCTTGTAACAGTGACGTAACTAACTCTACCTTCTTGTAACAGTGTCGTAACTAACTCTACCTTCTAGTAACAGTGACGTAACTAACTCTACCTTCTAGTAACAGTGACGTAACTAACTCTACCTTCTAGTAACAGTGACGTAACTAACTCTACCTTCTAGTAACAGTGACGTAACTAACTCTACCTTCTAGTAACAGTGACGTAACTAACTCTACCATCTAGATACAGCGTTACAGTTCAAGTTACAGGTACAGGAAAAGGTATTACAAAATGGACACATTACATAAACAGTATTTAGGGTCGTTGTATGTTGTGATGTGACGTCATCTAATATACAGAGGTAGTAAACATTGGTTGTTAAGAGAATATATTCTGTCTCTCTGTCTGTCTGTCTGTCTGGCTGGTTGACTGGCTGGCTTTTTTGTGTCTATTTAGCACAACACACACACGCACACACACACACAAAAGCACACGCACACACACACAAAAGCACACGCACACACACACACACACACCGAACATGGATCTTTAAACACGTTCCTGGAGGAGAAAGTCTTGGCCACATACTCACACGGGGAGGGGGGCAGGGAGAGGAGAGGAAGGTAGGGGGGCAGGGAGAGGAAGGGAGGGGCAGGGATAGGGCAGGGATGGGGGGCCGAGGCAAAGGTGGGGTATGCAGGTAGTGGAGGAGAGGAGTGTGTAGGTAGGGGCAGCAAGGTGTGTGTGTGTGTGTGTGTGTGGGTAGGGGCGGAGGAGGAAGAGTGTGTGTGGGCCATAGTGTGGGCAGATCAAGACCACGCTCCGCCCATTGAGGAAAAACACCTCAACCTCCCCGTGGCTCCACCCAGGTACACGTGGCTTGGTGACGTGAGTGAACAACATCGGCAGACCAGTGTAGGATTTGTTGATGTGATGGGTAGGTCATGCAGGCCGCCTGGTGTGTGATAACGTAGGCTAGGTTATAGGTCTTGTAGGCTATAAATAACACGAAGTTTACTGAAAGAAATACATATAACACTTATTAATGTATAATGAAATATTAAATAAAGTGTCTAGTGTCGGTGTTAAATAATAAAGAAAATAAATGGAAAAGTATTTGGTATTCTATTTTATTTAGTCTTCTGGTTAAAAAAATAATAAAAGATTAAAATAAAAGGAAAAAATAATCTCACACGACACAGAAGGGAAGGAAAAAAAGTGACAGAACTCAATAATGTGTAGAAAAAAGTGTGATAATTGAGAGAGAGAGAGAGAGAGAGAGAGAGAGAGAAAGAGAGAGAAAGAGAGAAAAAGAGAGAGAGAGAGCCAGCCATGACGGTTCAAGTGGAGGAAATTGATAGACTAATATCGAATAAAGTGACGGAGAATTCCACCACCACCATCAGCACCGCCCTCCAGAATGACGCTACTACCACCACCACCAGCACCAGCAGCAACGCCACCCTTAGCACCACCACCCACGCCTCCGTTAGTCTACCTCCGACCTTAACACTGGATAGAAAGTCTGACCTCAGGAAATCTCTCGTGTTTATCGTGGCTTACCTGTTGTTGGAGGTGAGTCATACTGTACATGTGTGCGTTAATTGAACACACCTGTGATCTACCTGTATGTGTTTGTGATCTTGTTACCATCTCTCTCCCTCCCTCCCTTCCTCTGGCAGTTTCTTACCCTCTCTTCCTCCCACTGCCAGCCTCCTAACCCTTCATCCCTCTCCCTACCAGCCTCTTAACCCTCCCTCCACCCCTCCCCCTGCCAGCCTACAAACCCTCCTTCAAGGCCAACACAACTGAAGTCCTGACCTCCACCCACAGATCGGGAAACAACTGAGTAACTTCGGGTTGTCGAGAACCAACAGTGAGCAGTATCCTGTGCCCTCCTCACTGCTCGTCTTCCTCACTGAACTCACAAAACTCACACTCGTCCTCTCATGGGCAGCGGTAAGTTAAGTTAATGAGGTGTGTGAGGTGTGTGAGATGTGTGAGGTGTGTGACGTGTGTGGGGTGTGTGGGGTGTGTGACGTGTGTGGGGTGTGTGGGGTGTGTGACGTGTGTGGGGTGTGTGAGGTGTGTGGTTGTAAGAAAGCATTAGTGTTAGGCAGAGGACATCTCCTCAAGATTAACCTAACCTAACCTTAACCTAACCTAACCTAACCTTAACCTAACCTTAACCTAACCTAACCTAACCTTAACCTACCTTCCTCGCTCATGACAGGTAACAAGAGAGCCGGTCAGGAGGTGGCAGCCTAGCCTAAGATTCAGTGGACCAGCTGTGTGTTACCTGTTGACTAATTTACTCTACCTGGCCGCTCTCACCTATGTTACTCCTCCTCTATGGATGATTCTAATACAAACTCGTACTCTCTATACTGCCATAATATATCTGGTAAGTCGCTGCTGTAGATGTTGTTGTTATGATTAAGTTATTAGGCATTTGTTATTGTGCATCATCATCTGTTTGTTGTAGTTGTTGTTGTTGTGCACCATCATCTGTATGTTGTTGTTTTTGTTGATATTATTATTATTATTAAGAATACCCACTGAAGACATTTTCTCACCACACACACACACACACACACACACACACACACACACACACACACACACACTCAGAGAAGATCATTTTTACAGGTTGTGTTTGGGAGGAGGGTGACTTGTGTACAGGTGGTAGGGTGTATGTTGGTGGTGGGCAGTATACCTTTAGCCAAGATCTCAGAGGTACAAGCAGGTCATACCTCCCTGACCTCCCCTGTGATCCTCCTGTCGCAGGTGTGTGCCTTCCTCTCCACCATCGCCTCCGTCGCCGTTGAGGTGAGGCATTATAGTATACTCCAAACCTTCCAAAATGAACTCCAAACCTTCCAATTTAACTCCAAACCTTCCAAAATGAACTCCAAACTTTCCAAAGCACTCCAAACCTTCCAAAATGAACTCCAAACCTTCCAATTTAACTCCAAACCTTCCAAAATGAACTCCAAACTTTCCAAAGCACTCCAAACCTTCCAAAATGAACTCCAAACCTTCCAAAATGAACTCCAAACCTTCCAATTTAACTCCAAACCTTCCAAAATTCCCTGAAAATCCCCACTGAATCTCCCTGCTACACTATTTCTCCCCTTCCTATCCCCTTCTTTCCCCAATTATCCTCCCTATCTTTCCTCTCCTCTCCATTCCCTTGTCTCCTCCTATCCACATATTTTCTTCCTCTTATTCCTACTCTACGTCATTGTGTCTGTTTATCTTTTTCTCCCATACATGTCCTTCTTATCTCATTTTCCTTCTTGTCATTCGTTTTCCCTCTCTCTCTCTCTTTGCTTTGGTTAGTGGGAAGAGGAACGATGTGATTAAATTCTGGTCAGGAAAATAAAATACTGCTCTATTGTATACCGACACCTATGTGAATGTATACAATGGAATGTAATCCAATCGTTGTATTAATCTCTCTCTCTCTCTCTCTCTCTCTCTCTCTCTCTCTCTCTCTGTTTTCTACTGTTGCAGATTTTGTTGAAGAACGACGAGAGGAGCTTCTGTGAACAGCAGGTCTGGTTGTATGTGTGGGGATGTCTCCTAGGGGCCGTTGCGCTACCTGTCCAAGTTGACCTGACCTCTCTCACTCCATTATTACAGGTAAGTCTCTCTCCCCAAACCTTCCTCCCCACCACACACCCTCCCCAACTCTTCCTCTTTTAGGGGTTTAGTTCTTAAAAGCTATAGAATTACCCTCTAATAGATGCTATTGGTTTTGGCATGCCATTATTATGCCTATTATAAAACTTGACTATTCATGTATGTCCTTAACACATTATGTATTTGCATGGTAGTATTTAATAAGCACCATTCAGTCGATCAATCCAGGTCAAGTTAGTTACTGGTATTTGTGTATGGAAAGATCTACCAATTAAAATCAAGCAATGTTAAAATATAGACTTTTTTTTGTTAACTAACTTTTTAACTTCTGTTTCTTTCCTAATTTATTTCACTGTGTCACGAGGATCACATATTACTAATGATTAATGTTTTATTAGCGGTAATATTTATATACGTATGCTGAAACTAACATACGCCATTTTATATTTAAGTTACCCTCAACAAATTAAAAAAATTCTATGATATAATTAAATACTTGTTTTCTATGATAAGTTCCTTGGGTAATATGACAAAACCTATCTCATCTTGTGTAAATTGATAATTATCTATCTCAACCTGCGTGTGGCTATCTATATCACCCTGTTCCCGTGTTTTATGTGTGTGTGTGTGTGTGTGTGTGTGTGTGTGTGTGTGTGTGTGTGTGTGTGTGTGTGTGTGTGTGATAATAACTAGCAATAATGATGCAGTAATAATTTATTTAACTAGAACAGTACAGTTATAATAATATACCTCGCATTCTGTGTCGATGATTATAGCGATCAATCTTATCCTCTGTGTGATAATGGTTAACTGACCCCGTCCACAACACCACTCATTGATCATTACCCTAACTGTGCTTAATAGTTGGGCCATGGTTCCTCCTTCAATTTGGACTATATAGTTTCGTCTTTGTCTTAATTATTATAACGAATTTAAACCCAAGAGAAGACATTTATTACTATTATTATTATTATTATTATTATTACTACAGAGCGTGTTGGAGAGTCGCTTCTTGGCCCATCAGATTATATTGGCCGTAACTTCATCAGCGTTGGCAGGTCTCTGTGTGCCCTTCATCGTCAGGAACCTGGATAGTATAGCCAAGGTCAGTTTAGGTCAGGTTAAGGTTAGATTGGCTTAGGTGTTTTCTTAATCTTTTACTACTACTACTACTACTACTACTACTACTACTACTATTTCTACTACTACTACTAATAATAAAGATGGACACTGAAATACCCCACAAAAACAAATTATTACATCAATAACCTTTTAAGAACTTTGAGGTGTTTTACAGGACTATCTGGCAGCATTAAACAACTTACTCCTCTCGGTGGTGATGGCGTTGGTGTTCCCAGTTCACTTCACCCTCAGCTGGCTCTATCTCCTCTCCCTCGCCTTCCTCCTGCTGGGGATATGGCTCTATGAAAGGAAGGTCACCAGCTGCCATCTCTAGGGGGGACTGTCTGCCAACTCTGTATAAGCCATATCTACCCATAAGTGATGATGACCAGAAAACTTAAACATGACATAGGAATAAAGAAAGGAATATATAAGAAATTAAAGGGAGGGGAGGAGCAGCTCAGAAACAGGTATCATGAACTATCTAGGAATGTTAAGAAAAATGTAAGGAAAGCAAAGAGAGACTATGAAATCAAAATAGCAAGAGAATCCAAGGCGAATCCCAAGGGATTTTTCCAGGTATATAGGACAAAGGTCAAGGACAAAGTTGGGCCTTTAAAGTCAGGGAGGGGAGAAGTGATAAATGGCAGTGAAGAAATAAGCAAAGCATTGAACAGCTACTTCTTATCAGTTTTCACAGAAGAAATTTGCTATGAAATTCCAGAGGTGGAACTGATATTTCAGGGAAAGGAAGAAGAGAAATTAAAGAATATCACTATCAGAAAAGAGGATGTTCTTAAGAAGATAAATAAACTAAAGAAAACAAAATCCCCAGGACCAGATGAAATTTTCCCTCGAGTCTTGAAAGAGTGTAGGGAACAGATTAGCGGACCCCTCGTAAACTTATTTACAAAATCATTAGACACTGGAGTTGTGCCAGACTTGTGGAAACAGGCAAATGTAGTACCCATATTCAAAAAGGGAGACAGAGCATCAGCATCAAATTACCGGCCGATCAGTTTGACGTCAGTAGTGGGGAAATATCTTGAATCAATTATAGCAGATAGCATCCGATCGCATCTAGAGAAAAGCAAATTAATCTACGACTCTCAACATGGGTTTACAAAGGGAAAATCTTGTCTAACAAATCTGCTAACGTTTTTTAGGAAAGTCTTCGAGGTAGTAGATAATGACGAAAATTACGATGTTATTTATTTAGACTTTTAGCAAAGCATTTGACAGAGTACCGCATCAGAGGCTTCTGAGAAAAAGTAAGGCTCATGGTATCGAAGGGAAAGTTTTAAATTGGATAAAATCATGGCTCACCGATAGAACGCAGAGGGTCAGCGTAGATGGTGTTAAATCTGAGTGGGGCCGTGTAACCAGTGGGGTTCCACAGGGGGCAGTACTAGGCCCACTCTTGTTCATAATCTACATAAACGATTTAGATACTGGGATCAGCAGTGACATAAGCAAGTTTGCGGATGACACCAAAATAGGGCAGCAAATTAATTCAGGGCAGGATGCAAATGCACTACACAGGAGGATTGCCCTCCTCCTAGTCACAGGCCTGGCATTTGACATTATTAGGGACCTGCCACTTTGCCATAAACAGATAAAATGTACCGGGAACTTTCCCCCCACACACTCATCATTCTCTCACTTTATGTAACTTGACAGAACCTATGACCCTTCAGGCTTTTACGCCCTTAATGTACGAGTCATAAAGGCAAGTATGAACTTTTCATGCTTCCCTGTTGGGCGCTGTAAACGCTTCTGCGCTTCACCTTGCACAGGATGTAAGGGGGTGCCCAATATACTAGCCCCCTCGGGGGCAAATCTGAAATCTACAGGAGGATCTAAATAAACTGCGGGGGTGGTCTGAAAAATGGCAAGGCCGAGAATTCAACACCCTTAAGTGCAGCGATACTTAATATTGGAAGAACAAATACTTACTTAATGTATACAGCCTTAACAACATCAACCTAGAAAGTCGACTTGTGAAAGAGACCTAGGGGGTACTTATAGCCCGGACCTACGGCCTAGAAAACAGTGCGTTCATTTTCGAAATAAGGCAAACAGAGTATTGGGTTTTATATCTCGAAGTGTAAGTAATAAGAGTGCAGAGGTCTTATTGCAACTATATCAGGCCGCACCTCGATTATGCAGTTCAGTTCTGATGCCCTTATTATAGAATGGATATCAATTCACTAGAGTCGGTGCAGCGGAGAATGACGAAAATGATTCCGGGACTTAGAAACCTTCCATATCAGGATAGGTTAAAGAAACTAAACTTGCATTCCCTAGAAAGACGAAAAGTGCGGGGAGATATGATAGAAGTATTTAAGTGGGTGAAAGGAATCAATAAGGGGGATATAGATAAAGTTCTTATAATATCCGAGCAGGATAGGACTCGGAGCAACGGATTTAAGTTGGATAAGTTTAAGGTTTAGGAGGAGATAGGAAGAAACTGGTTCACAAATAGAGTGGTGGACGAGTGGAACAAGCTTAGCAACTTTGTAGTAAGTGCGGGAACTCTGGAAAGTTTCAAAAGGAGGCTAGATAGATTCATGGATGATAGAGAGTGGTAGTAACTCTCGACAGGAGCTGCCATGCACAGGCCAACCGGCCTATTGCAGACTCCTTATTTTCGTATGTTCTTATGTTCTTATCTATTTATCTATCTATCTATCTACTGTATTTATCTATTTATATCTATTTTATTAACTCACCTGTACCATTAATCATCAGTTTATTTATCTTAATCTTCTTCCCATTTTGATTTATTCCTCTTAACTATGTATGTATCTACACCCACAAACAAACCTACTATCCACTCCCAAACACCCACAAACAAACCTACTATCCACGCCCTACACCCACAAACAAACCTACTATCCACGCCCCACACCCACAAACAAACCTACTATCCACGCCCCACACCCACAAACATACCTACTATCCACCCTACACCTAAACAAACCTACTATCCACGCCCTACACCCACAAACAAACCTACTATCCACGCCCTACACCCACAAACAAACCTACTATCCACGCTCTACACCCACAAACAAACCTACTATCCACGCTCTACATCCACAAACAAATCTACTATCCACGCCCTACCCTCACAAACAAACCTACTATCCACGCCCAACACCCACAAACAAACCTACTATCCACGCCCCAAACCCATAAACAAACCTACTATCCACGCCCTACACCCACAAAGAAACCTACTATCCACTCCCTACACCCACAAACAAACCTACCATCCATGCCCCACAAACACACCTACTATCCACGCCCCACACCCACAAACAAACCTACTATCCACGCCCCACACCCACAAACAAACCTACTATCCACGCCCTACACCCACAAACAAACCTACTATCCACGGCCCACACCCACAAACAAACCTACTATCCACTCCCTACACCCACAAACATACCTACTATCCACTCCCTACACCCACAAACAAACCTACTATCCACGCTCTACACCCGCAAACACACACTACCCACCACCTACACCACAATAGAGTAAAGGAGGAATACAGAGTGTACCTACTCAGGGTAGCCATACCACTCTGGGTGGTTGATCCTTAGTGCAGCAGGAAAGAGAAAAATTATAAGTGAGTCATTCTATTCCTCGTGTGATGGATGGATGGATGGATGGATGGACGGATGGGAGACTGAATGGGAGGATAGATGGGTAGATGGGTGACTGAATGGGATGAGAGATGGGTAGGTGGGTGAATCGGTGGATGGATAAACAGCTAACTGGATGAATGGACATATGGACTTGGATGGCATATTTGGATGTAAAACCCTACGATATGAAGAACATTTTGGACATATAAACCCATGACAATTAACACCATTTTGGACTTACATCACAGGAAACAGGTAAAACATTTCTGTGATCGTCCTTCAATAATTCCATACGCCAACCTTACCTGCATTTATCTCATTTACAGTATAAAATTTTAGTGTTAATTTCAGCATCGGAATCAATCAATCAATCTCTCTCTCTCTCTCTCTCTCTCTCTTTCTCTCTCTCTCTCTCTCTCTCTCTCTCTCTCTCTCTCTCTCTCTCTCTCTCTCTCTCTCTCTCTCTCAAGATGGAAATTTCATGACGTAAAATCCGATGAAAACTCGACCCTGTTTATACGTGTTGCTTCGAGGTTTTGTTTTCACGTTAACCTCATGTTTCGTTTCGATAAATGACACATATCACAGGAGGTGAACTACAAACTGAACTTTGACCTGACACCGACGACCGACCGACGGAAGATGGGGCTTCGGGTTTAGTCGTATCCCATTTGAGAGTTTTATGAATGTGAAGCCCCGAATTAGTCAACAAACCCTACAGCTCAATTTGGATTCGAACTTGTGCATCTTGTTCTTGAATCAGAACCTTATCTCACACATATATAGGGGTTAGGTTAGGTTGGGATGGGTTAGGTTGGGTTAGGTTGGGTTAGGTTAGATTGGGTTAGGTTAGGTGAGCCGTGTCCATCACAACCAGACAATTATCCCCGTCCATCAGATCTTCCCTTTAACAAATCCTCAACATAAAAAACAAATTCACCTCCATGTGTTAAAATCTTACTACACTACATTACCGTCACCACTATACCAAACCTGTGTAATATTAACATACTAATACACTATTAAGACATCACCAAATCCATCAATAAACAGTACATCTTCCTTTACACTTGATTAGAAAGAAAAACAAGAAAATATGCCCAGAATCTCAAATTCGTTCACTAACATTACGAAAAATTACAAGAGTTAAGAGTCAAAGCAAGATATGTACTGTACGCAATGTTGATGTTATTTTGTTCGCCATCATTGTGTCCTAAAGTTAATCTGTTTTGTGAAGTAAATCCTCGGACTTGGGAACAAATCATCATGTGTACCTTTGAGTATTAAGGTCTTGATCCATTTCCTTGATGTCTACCGTTTGGAACAGGTAACACCACCACAATTGTTTTAACCAAGGCGAAAACGGACGAAAAAAAAAAGCTTCTACAAATATCAAGTATTAATTTTCTCTCTTTACAGGATCTAATACTCTTGGAAATGTGTTTAAATTAATCTGATTTGTTTTCATTTATTGTCGATCCTTCATAAGAGGACTCGTGGATCCCCCGAGCCTAGCCGGCCATTTTGTTTACATTTTTCGGTCGCTCTAAAATACCATTAAAACAATATTGAGTATAAACGTTTGGCTCAACTTATGATCTCAAACATGTCCCAACATTTTTTTGCCTCAACTCCACATTCTGTAACTCATTTAGGTAGATGTCCCTCACTACACATACACTGGACTATGTGTAATGTTGCAGCTAATGTGTTATCAAGATATTGCACATTATAAGTTCATGTGTGGTCATTATTATATCAAACGGAGGAATTTTAAAGAGCTTATACACCACATG